CAGGCTGGCCTCGAACTCACAGAGATCCGCCTGCCTCTGCCTCCTGAGTGCTGGGATTAAAGGCTTGCGCCACCAACGCCCGGCCTAAACCAACATTTATTGAACAAGTTCTACATATCTGGATTTCCAAAAATGAATAAGACAACTACCGCTGTCACTGTGCTGGATTTTGGGACACATTGGTCATACAGGAGGTACCAGCCATGCAGACACTCTGTGCCTGACGCTGTGCCGAGGATGTGGCTGTCAATGGTGCCAACGTGGTTCTTACTCTCTGGAGCCTGTGATGGATAAAAGCCAAAAAAGGAGTTATGCAAATGCTGACTCCATGGCATTTGGTTTAAGTGTTTTGAGAATAGAGCACAGTATGCATTACATTATATACCTAGCGTTTAGTCTCTTCTAGGAAGTAATTGAAGGCTTCCATAGACAAGGTATATGTAAGCTGAGCATTGACTGATGTGAAAGAGTGGGAAAAATTTCAGTTCAGATTGATGAGTGTTAAATCTAAAAAGTAATGTCAGAATGGGAAGGTGGTCCAGAAGCTGAGCAGGCATGAGAGAGGTTTGGGACGTGTGTTGGCCTGAATCACTGTGATAGTTATGTTTGACATGAGTAACTTAACAGTGAAGAGATTCGTTTTAGGTCGTGGCTTTAGAGGTTTCAGCACATAGTCCTGGGCTCCATTGATTATGGACCAGAGGAGGGAGAGCAGCCTGGCAGCAGGATCATGGTACAAGTTACTCACCTCATAGAAGGCAGGAGGCAGAGAGAATAAGGGACCAGGGATCAGGTGTCACCTTAAGAGATCTAGCCCCAGAGACCCGTGCCCTCCGGCTAGGTCCCACCTGTTAGTTTCCATTGCTTCCCCAAGTAGTGTCACCGCCGGGCATGTTCAACACATGAGCCGGAGGGGGACATTTCCAATTTAAACCATAACAGGAAAATTTGCAGGGACTGTGATCTTCCAGGTGGGTCTTAAGAGATCAGAAAGGGTTCTGCATAGGAAACAATAGTTCTAATTGTGTAAAGACACAGACATTCCAAGGCACAGTCTGGAAATAATATGAAGTATAGCATCAGCATCAGCACATGAGAAAGTGGGAGGGCTAAGTCACTGCAGATCAGGTTGTAAGGACCTTTATGTAGTGTTCTGGTGTTAGAGTTACCTTTTTAGCCTGTTAAGCAATGAGAGATCAATGTGAAGTTTCACATCATATGACTTATTTAATAATTACTATTACTATGTAGTTGTTTTTTTACTCTTTACTCTCCTGGGGTCCTGCCACCCATCTCCCAAATAGATACACATGAAGATTTATTATTACTTAGAAATGCCCACCTTAGTTTGGCTTATGTCTTGCCAGCTTTTCTTAAATTATCCTGTCTAACTTTTGCCTCTGGGCTTTTATCTTTCTCTATTTCTGTATACCTTTTTTTCTTTCTTACTCCATTGTTGGTTGTGTAGCTGGGTGGCTGGCCCCTTGAGTCCTCCACGCCTCCTTTTCTTACTTCTCGGTCTCTCTTTCCAGATTTCTCCTCCTATTTATTCTCTCTGCCTGCCAGCCCCACCTATCTTTTCTCCTGCATTGCTACTGGCCATTCAACTCTTTATTAGACCATCAGGTGTTTTAAAAAGACAGGCAAAGTAACACAGCTTCACAGAGTTAAACAAATGCAACATAAAAGAATGCAACACATCTTTGCATCATTAAACAAATGTTCCACAGAATAAACAAATATAACATATTTTAAAACAATATTCTACAACATTACTATTTGTTTTGTTTTTAAGAAAACTTTCATCTGAGAGGAGAATAAAAGAAGGAAAACCACTTAGGAAATGGTTGTAATGGTCCAGCTGAGACATGATAAGGCCCGAATTGAAATATGAATGTTAGGGACGAAGATGAATGGCCAGATTAGAGAACTGGTGTGTGTTGTAGTCACTGTGCCATTGCTGTCATTTAAATATATGAGCTTATGGGGGCCATTCTCATTCAAACTGCTATGGTATCACAGTAGAATTTGTATGATTTAATGACTAATAGGAAGTTGGAAGGGTCGATTGTTCCCATTCAGCTTTTAAGGCAATGATGTTGTCCTGGGATGTTGCACTTACTGGCTGTGCTGAGGAACAAAGGGGAAAAATATCAGTAAGTAGTCAGCCACTCCAACTACAGGACACAGTTAAGGTTCACATTTATAACCAATTACAGAATGAACAACTGCATTGTGTCCTGTATTCCATTATAATAAAAGGCAACAAAATAATAGAAGAAAATGCTTATCTCACTGAACAGAAAGCCCAAGGTTCAACAGCACTGTGGCTTTCTCTGATCTGCAGATCCAGAACGAAGAGAGCGTGGTGCTTTTTCTGGTCTCCTGGACTGTGACCGAGATCACTCGCTATTCCTTCTACACATTCAGTCTTCTCGACCACTTGCCGCACTTCATTAAATGGGCCAGGTGGCAATGTCTTGCCTTTCAGTTCCTCACTGCCCTGTGCATGCTGACTTCGTGTGCTGAGCTAACACTGGAGAATTACCATCTGTGTCACAGATCCATGATGCCAGAATGCAGCCGTTTGAGTCACTGGCAGTGTTCTAACTTGTATTCTAAAAGCTGATTTTGAATGGTCATAGGCAAATAATAATACCAAATAGATTTTATGTAAAAACACCCACAAACAAATCATATCCTCAGGTCATCTCAGTTGGTCATTTATTTCATTGTTTTGGAAAGTGTCATATCCATTTTGGGAACTGTATTAAATAAAATTTACTCAAAATGTAGCTAACTGGTTGCTCTAAGGTATTATTATGTGAAGACTGATTTTTAAAAAAATTATTTTTAGTTATATACATACGTGTATATCTGTGTGTGAGTACAGGTGCCCTTAGAGGCCAGAGGCACCAGATTCCTCTGGAGCTGTAGTTACAGGTATTTGAGAGTCCCCTGATGTGGGTGCTGGAAACCAAACTTTGGTCCTCTTCAAGAGCAGCACTCTTAACTGCTGGGGCAGCCCTTCATTTGTGCAGTTCCAAATCAGCATAAGTGTCAGTCTAGCACTTCATCTCTAGTACCCAGGTACTGCCACACAGTGGTCCACAGTGACTGAACAGTGGAGCATCTCTACTGATGGGCTTCAGATCCTTCCCAACTTTCTGATACTATAAATAACGCCACAAGATATTGGAGACAATGCCATACACATCTCTTGTTTCTATTTTTAAAAAGCTGATATTTAAGCCCAGGTGGGGTGGCACATGCCTTTCATCCTAGCACTTGGGAAATGGAGGCAGGTGGGTTTCTGTGAGTTCAAAGCCATCCTGGTCCAACTAGTAAGTCCCAAGCCTGCCAGTACTACCTGTCTTAACGACAGAACAAGCTCTGACGTTTGTGTTAATACATGTGTAATAGCTAACTGCCCTCATGCTTGCTCCAGATGTCCATATATTAAAAGCCTAACATTATGTCAGATAATTGCCTTTTTAAAACTCATGCATTGGGGCTGAAGAGATGGCTCAGTGGTTAAAAGCATTGACTTCTTTTCCAGAGGACTTGGGTTCACTTCCCAGCACCCACATGGCAACTCACACCTGTTGTAACTCCAAGATCTGACAACCCTTATACAGACATAACATGCAGGCAAAACACCAATGCACATAAAAAAAGAAATAAAACCCATGTGTTATCCATGTTTAATGATAATAAATTAGAATACATAAATAAAGACTAATTCCTATAGTACATTACTAGAATATAAAAATAAATAAAAAAGGAGGAAATAAGACTTTAAAAATTATTCATAATCCCATTACACAGGGGTGTCACTGTTAATTGTATTTTTGAGACTCTTAGACTTTTAAAATATTCTTCTGGCTCCTTTTTAGACATTTGTGGCTTCACATTTTACATACAATAAAATGCTCTAAAATTCTATCTTTATTCATTGTTTGTCTTAAGAAGGTTGTACTGTTATGTGTTAGGTTCATTTTATTCTTGTTCTACATGAAGATATATTCACATTTAAGGCTTAGGCCTTTGAAGGGGTTTGGAGCTTTGCATGCAGTTGGACATAATCTTAGAATGCATGTTAGTACCACTTTTCATGATAGTCTTCGCAACCTCTGGTTCTTCTAAATGTACTAACTCAGCACATTGTCTCTGTTGATGAACTGTATTTACAAAGTTTGCTCGGAGAAGGTAACTGTACACCGCATGTTTGCATAGATCAGGTCTGTTAGCATTTAGTGTCTGGAGTCTCTTGTTTGGGATGCATTTACATGTTATAAATTTCTAGAAAAGTACAGAACTCTTCTATTTCATGTTTCAACTTGTGTTGGGACCATCCATCATTTCATTAGTATTAACCGTTTAGCATCTGAGCATGGCAGTGTATACCGATAGTCCCAGCTCTTGGGAAGTGGAGCAGGAAGATTAGGAGTTCAGAGGCAGCCTCTACTACATAGTGAGTTCAAAGCCAAGCCTGAATTATGTGAGACCATTTAGAACAATAACAACAACAAAAGACTTTACATGAAATCTTTCAACATTGAAATATGTGTCCTCGTATATGTATCATTTAGTTATAAACATCAATGATTTTTTTTTAAGACAGTGTCACTGTGTCACCCTGGCTGGCATAGAATTTACTATGTAGACCAGGCTAGCCTTGAATTTACAGAAATCTGCCTGCCTTTGCCTCCTGAATTGCTGGGATTAAAGGTGTATGCTACCATGCCTGGTCATAATCATCAATAATTATGTTTCATGTCTAAACACTCTTGAAAATTACAATTATCTAAATATATTTTACACATTCATTAAACAACCTAAAATAATATTCATATTCAAATGTGGAAGCTATTATTCTCAAATAAAACTTCACTTTAGAAATAGCTTCCTTTTTGTAGTTTGACCTACTATCATAATTGACTACCTTGATTCTATTTATGAGCTGAAAGTGTTCCTGGATAATTTTATGTTGGGTTATGATTTCATATTGATTTCCATTTTAATTTCAGAAGTACATTTCCTCTAAGAAATTTTAGGTAACAATTGGGAATCTTTGGGGTAGCAAGCCTTCCCATAGTTAGTGCAAGGAAGGTAAAATAAATTATACAATTTATTCCCATACCATGAATTTTCATTGACCTTAAGGGTTTCAATTATTTTTTAATTTTTTTTTACTTAATATGAGTGATAACCAGGTGGTAGTGATACACACCTTTAATCCCAGCACTTGGGAGGCAAAGGCAGGCAGATCTCTGAGTTTGAGGTCAGCCTGGTCTACAGAGCAGAGTTCCAGGACAGCCAGGGCTACACAGAGAAACCCTGTCTTAAAAACCAAAAAAACCAAAACCAAACCAACCAAACAAAAAAGAGTGATAATTTACAAAAAAGTAATATATTTTGTTGATTGGTGTGTGTGTGTGTGTGTGTGTGTGTGCTTGAACATTCCAGATGCTCCTGTGAAGGTCACAGGACAATTTGCATTGAGTTAGTGTTCTCCTTTCACTATGTGGTTCCTGGGGATTGAACTCAGGTCATCATATCAGGCTTTGCAACAAGTACCTTTACCCACTGAACCATCTTACCAGCCTGGGAATGAAAATACTATTTTTAAAAAAATCACTGGAGAGCTTCATGAGGTTAAGAAAATAAATTAGATTAGATAGTTTGTTTTAAAAAGGATTATAAATGTTTGCTTTTCAGATTTTAAAAGATGAAGTGAGAAAACACTGATTTAAATAATAAAAATTATACAAGTCTGAGTCGAGCGTGGGAGCAATCTCCAGCAAGGGCAGAATAAGCAGGAACAGCAAAGGGCAGTTTTCCCTTCTTTACTCTGTAGTTCTATCCACATCTCTTCATATGTCTGTAGTACACAGGAATCAGGTGATCTGTCTATCTATCTATCTATCTATCTATCTATCTATCTATCTATCTATCTATCTATCTATCTACTATTTATATATGAATCTATCTATTAATGCATGTGTCTATCTCTGTCTATCTATCTATCTATCTATCTATCTATCTATCTATCTATCTATCTATCTATCTATCTATCTATCTATCATCTTTCTCTGTCTCTCTGTGTGTCTGTTTCCCAACACACCCTCCACACCCCTCCTGACCCCCCCAGGGTGTTGTGTAGCCTAAACTGGCCTTGAACTCAGTGTATAGTGGAAGATGACTCTGAGCTTCTGCTCCTCCTGTCTCTTTAAAGTACTGGCATTACAGGTGTCTTTTATCATGTCTGGTTTATGCAATGCTGGGGATCAAACTCAGAGCCTCATGCATGCTTGGCAAGCATTCAATCATCTGAGTTCTATGACTCTTCTTTATAGATGGTTTTTCATGCCAACTGGGGGAGTAAAGAAAATGCAGATGATTTTTCTGTAAAAAAATTGCTTGTTGTGAAGGTGGTTGTACACAGTGTACTAATTCCTAATGATTAAAGTCATGTTGTCAGTTTCCTTCAGCGGTAACTATGTTTAATCAGTAATCACAGTTTTCCAAATAACCTAAAATATCTGCTTTAGTCACTTAAACTATCAAACTAGGTCCTAACTGGTCCTTTTTAGGCTCAGCATTCACTTTTAGGCTCAACATTCATCAGCTATAGGGAAAATAGGAGCAGTTACGGCTATATACCCCAAAGAAGCAATTTTTTTAAACACTTAACTGAAACAAAAAGAGCTGTGTAGTTAGATATGGTGGCCCCATCTGTGATGTTGATTACTTGGAGGTTGAAGCAGGAGGATCACTTGAGGACAGGGGGAGTTCGGGACCAACCTGGCCAACCCAAAACTCATACATCTCAAAACAAATGAACAAAATATGCACATGTACTTTAAAATAAATTATAAAAATATTTTAATACGATATAGAGTAAACTGGCTTTATTCTTATGTTGTCATTTGGAATGGGAATTTACTATTAGAAAAAGGGTGATCATTAACAAGCATATGACTAAATCAACCTGTGTGAGATACTGTAAATGCATGCAGAGAGATTTCTAAGTTTAAATACAATAGTAATGGAAGAGATGTGCTGTAAAATACAAGAACTGGTCTAGAAAAATAATCGTCTGTCTTTTCTTTCTCCAGATATAATTTTTTTATCATCTTATATCCTGTTGGAGTTGCTGGGGAACTGCTCACAATATATGCTGCCTTGCCTTACGTGAAGAAGTCAGGGATGTTTTCAGTAAGGCTTCCTAACAAATACAATGTCTCTTTTGACTACTACTATTTTCTGCTCATAACCATGGCCTCATATATACCATGTAAGTATAGGCTCATCAGTACTTTGATTTAACGTATGATATGCAAGTGTTTAGAATATCATGCTAAACTAATTTAAAAAGCAAGGGAAAATGGGAATAATTGCTCACAAATGCATTTACATGTCTATCTTTAGAATAACTCCAGGGAAGTGAGTCAGATTTTCTTTCTTTTTTTCTTTTCTTTTCTCTTTATAATGATTATGTGAAAAGGTAAGTCAATTAATATTCAAGTGATTGCTTTCTCAGAAGCATTTAAATATGCCTGGTATAGTTAACAGAAAAACTAAATCATTCCAAACACATGCATCAATAGAACTGTTGACAAGTGTTTTGGTTTTTACGTATGAATAAGCATTCTATCAATCAAACTTGAGATCACTTCTCTCCATTTGGCGTACCTGGAGATTTATTACAAGTGCCTTTTTGGTTTTGTTTGTGTTGTTTCATGTCCTTGGCAGGAATAAAGTTGCTTTTTAAAAACCGTTTTGAATATTTCAGCCTCTCCACTAATTTCTCACCATCTTTCAACAGCATCAATGAGTGGATGAGACTGCATTCATTGTCTTCTTTTAGGTACTAATAGTGATACATTTTTAAGTCAATTTTTATTTTTAGTCACTAGCAGCAAATAAAAGGGGAATGCAAGATTCATTCATCCTCTCAATAAAAGTAGAGGTGGATGCCAGCAGGAAGTAGGAGAAGTGAGAAATTTACAGAGTCTGAATGCTACATGGACAGGCTATAAGGCCTTTTATTTCATGGAGATATGTATACGATTTGGCCAGTCTGTGAGAGCTCCAACTTCAGAGCTTTTCTGAAACCAAAATAGACTAAGAGTTCAGAAGGATGCCTTCTCCTTGTCTTTTCCATCTACCTGATTTACCATCTAGCCAGTGCTGGTGAGCTCAGGAAGATGGACAGTCAGTCACTGTTTGTCACACCCCTTGCTTTATAGGAGTCTAGGTGGGGACAGTGTGCTGCAAGCAGTCAGCAGTCACGTAGGCTGTTTGTGGTCACAGGGGTGACCTCTCTTGGGGTCACCTCTCTTGTGACCTCTGCGGTTTTTCCATAGAAACCAAGATCTTAAGAGAAAGTGATTTGAAGCTTCAAACCTATAACTTCTGAACACCTGCTTTTCAGGTGTCCTGGGAGATGTAAGTCTGACCTCTGCCGGTAGTAACTTCCTAGCTCATTGTGCCTATAGTCACTGAGGTCCCTCTTGCTCAAGATCAGTCTGTCAGAGGCCTGTGTTTCCCCATCCTTACTGATATTGCTAGAGATATCAACTGATTTTACTTTGATAATTAAAAGTAGCATTTGAGTATTTATTTTAGTACCGAGAATGTGTGTTTCTCAATCACCAATGAGGGCATTCCAGATGGGAGAATTTCAGTGAACAGTTTTAAAAGTACCCAGGATGTAGTGCCTTCTATTAAACTTCTCAGGGTTTTAATAGGAGAATTCATCGTAATTGCTCAATTTGCTTAGAATGTACATGACCTGAGTGTTTAGACCGCTAGATATACTATGACTGCATTTATTAAGCTGGGAAGTTCATAAATAAAAATCAAACCCATTCCACATTCTTATAGAATTTGACCTAAATTAAATTTTTTTTTGAAAAGACAAATAGATTTTTTCCCCCCAAAGTCGCCTGAAGAAGATATTGAAAGTTTCTGTGGTCAATTTCCTTGGCTTGGTTATTCTGGGATATTTTACATTTGGAGCTTATAGCTAGTGTATATTTGTTCAGCCACCAGCCTTTATGCTGTGATTGAAAGTCTTGATTCCGTGGGGTGTGGAGGCAGAGGCAGGCAGATCTTTGTGAATTTGAGACCAGCCTGGTCTCCAGAGTAAGTTCCAGGACAGCCAGGGCTACACAGAGAAACCCTGTCATGAAAAAAGCAAATAAACAAAAAAAGTCTCGATTCAAACTGGCTCAAACTTTTCTCCAAATTTGCTGCACAGATAATCATCCACCCAGCTGGTATGATCCATGCACATGTTTGTGTGTGTGCATGACGGAAGCCCCTAGTCCTGCTGTGGGGAGTGTCTGATCAGGACCCTGTTATGACTCTCCCCTAGACACCACATCTGGGACCGCGACCCAGGTCCACTCTCTTCCCTAAACCAAGGGTTAACCATGTCACTAATGTGTGTTGTCCTGAGAACATGGGTCCATTCATAGTGGGTATGGATGAAGGTTGGATATATTTGGGGACATCACGTGCATGTGCGTGTAGGCACTCACAGAGCCAGATGCAGTTAACAGAGAACAGCAGAGTGTGAGGCCCGCTGTCCTTGCTTCTGATATAGTCCAGTGTTACTGATTTCTGAAAGTCAACATCGTCATCTGGGTCTGTTTGGAAAATATATTTATCAAGGTATGTGACCTTGCTAGGACAGAAAGACCTCCAGCAGTTTGCGTGCTACACAGCGTGTGACTTCCACTTTTGCCCTTAGCCTGAGCCCCATAAGCCCTTGGGGTGGGTTGTGTGTGTAGTATAGTCCTGTATAAAGTGCTGAAATCTCACATTTTACAGGTTTCCAGCCTAGTCTAAGGCAATAGCTCATCCGTCTTTGTTTTCTTTCTCCAATGAAGTGTTTCCTCAGCTCTATTTTCATATGTTACGTCAAAGAAGAAAGGTGCTTCATGGCGAGGTGATTGTAGAAAAGGATGATTGAACGATCCCTACAGACAAGGTGCTTTTTTCAGAAAAACCGGATTACTTGAGTCCAAGTTTTAATAACAAGAATAAAGAACTTCATGAATACCATGGATCGTATTGTTTCTTGAAGTATAAGGCAAAACATGTTTTCCAGTCTTTGTCTTCCTATTGTGCTGCATCTGTTTTTGATAACAACCATGGCAAATATTTGAAACTGGTGGGAGAGCGGGGAGGGTGAATCGTATAGAAAACAATTGGATATATTACCTGAGAAAAGGCATTTTTTGTGACCTTTACTAATATATTTTACAGCATATGCTCAAGGCTTTTAAAATCAATAGGTAGAAATTGGTTTCATTTAACATGATACCTACCAGTGACATTTATGTTTTACTTGTAAATGAAAGCCAACACAAAATTGTAACAAGTGATTAATAATGTATTAGAAACCCCGATCCATTGTTTCAAATTGTAGGGCAACATTTAAGATTAATAGCAACATCTAGAAGTGTGCACATAATTTTCTGTGGTAAGCTTTTGATGTAAAGTAGAAACATAAAAATATCCCAGTAAATGCCACAGTTGGGAGACACTTTCTTTTCTTTGGGAGATCACTGAGCTTGCTGGAGACACAGTCGAGGCTCTTGTGCACGCCAAGTGAGTGCTGTATGTCACCCAGTGGCATCCTCGGCTCCAGAAAATATTCTTTGAAGATTTTTCTAGACTGTTGACATTGTTTACTGAGCAAACTAACTTTTATTTGCATTAGTCACTCAAGGACAGCTTTCTTAATCCTAAGGATTTTTAAGAGGTTAGAAAAACTGCAGGTATTTCTTTTGCCTACTGTTTAATGGACATGTCTGATCATTTAATTGTTTCCAATTTTTGGTTGAGAAAGCTGCTCTGACCCATAGAATTGTCTTATAAAACCATGTTGTGATAATCCTGTGTGGTACTTTATAACTAAGGATTTCTAGCTGTCATCTGAAACATTAATTTTATTCTGAATTACACTGGGGAGCAAAAGTCTCATGATAAAGCCCCTGACCCCCATGTTTAATAGAAAGACGTACGGAGCATACTTCATTTCTGCTTTCATTAAATAGGGTCTTTAAAGGTTTCCCTCCTATGGTAAAGTATATTAATTTACTGGTTGACTTTAGAGCTAATGTAGATCTGATAAGAAAAGGAATCTTTTGCCTACCAAGCTACATAGATGCAATTTTCAGTCCAAGTGTTCTGTCTTCTGTGTATTTGTGGTCATCATCTAACGCACTCTATTCAAATTGGCTTGTTTATGTGGAACCAGCTCCTCTACCAAGTCTTCATATAGTGATTTGGAGTTTAGAACAGTTTTTCAGATTTGTTATCAATGACTTAATTTTTTCAAGGGTGCTATTTTTATTACATTGCATTTTATGTTTCCTCGGCTGCTGAACGTTTGCGTGAGCACTGTGTATTAAGTCACCAAGTCTCAAATGCTCCTCATCATTTGCTCTGACACTGCTTGGTCAATTTTCATCTTGAACTTTTATGATGAAGAACGTTCTGGGAACTTCCCCACCTTGGGTGACATAGTGTGAGACATTCACATTCATTAAATGCCTGTCTTATGAAAATATCTTCAAACATATTCCTAAAGCATGCATTCATTTAATCTGCACTCTCTCCAAGAAGCTGCAATGCCTCCCCACTTCCAGTTATCGACTATCCTGAAATAGGAATGATAATCAACTTTAATAAAAATGAATTCTTAAACTATTCGATGACTTACATTATAATACACTTAAAATGTGTAAGCTTAGATTTAGTTTAATATCCCCTAAAATCAAGCAATTTTAAACTGACAATGAGTGTATTAAGTGTTAAATGGTGGCTTGATTTTAGGAGGAAAAAAAAAAACTATTTGAAATTCACTGTGCTGTGACTGCACCTCTGAATTTCTCATGAAGTCACCCTAACCTGTGAACCAGGGCTTGAATCAAATGGAATTTGAATTCCATAAGCATTTGAAAAATATATACCGAGAACTTTTGATACCAGCAACATTTGACTACATTTGGTGATAGTCACTAAAATTATGACAGTATTTTATGTAAGCTTGATCACTTAATTATATAATATGCAAATTGAAAGATTTCCAGTGTATTAATGCTGATTTAGTATCAGTAAAGAGCCCTGATAGTTGCAGCTTACAAAAATGGCAAAATAAATATGAACATGTCTTCACTGAAAGCCTTTGTTGCCTGAGACCCGTTCACTTTCACGAGTGTTTTTGCATGTTGAGATTTCTGTGCATCTGTTTGTCATGCTGCTACCACATGGTTTCAGCAACCTTCCAGAAACAGTTTGTAGACCTGATACGTGGGTTCCAGGGACAGAACTCAGAATTTTGTTTTTGTTTTTCAAGACAGGGTTTCTCTCTGTATCCTTGGCTGTCCTGGAGCTCCATCTGTAGACCAGACTGGCCTTGAACTCACGGAGATCTGTCTGCCTCTGCCTCCTAAATGCTGGGATTAAAGGCGTGCACCACTACTGCCTGGCTCCAGATTCTTAATCATATATTGTTAATAATAATAACCAACTATTATTTTGAGCCTCTTACTTGCTCAGTACTGTGGGTGTCAACTAGCCCTCTCTTGTCTTTCCTTGTCCTGAACAGAAACACTTTGGTACCATTATTAGGTCACATTTTTTGAATACTATATATACTTTAGCAAAATACAGTGTGTTGCTAATATGATGGTATGCCAAGGTTTTTGTTCTGTGTGTCTATCCAGCATTCTATATTTGAGCTACTTTAGAACAAACAAAAGCAGTTCTAAGACTGAGAAGATAAACCATTAAGGGACCATGGAAGGAAAGGGTAACTGCAAAAAGCAACAGTGTAAATATTTTTAAGCTTGTACCTGGGTTGTTAAGATATTTTTCTGACACATGCTTACAGGTCTGGATTTTACATACAATTGATAAAACAAAACCAAAACAAGAAGCAGCACAGAGGCTCACTGGGTTAATATGCTAGCAGTGAAAGCCTGAACAGACGTTATGAGTTAGATCCCTGGAACTCATATAAAAAGTCCTGATGGAGCGGTGTGCATCTGTTACCACAGCATTCCCTATGGCTAGATGGGAAGCAAGGACAGGACATCCACCTGCCAGCTCTCAGGCTGTGAGCCTGGCGTACACATCATGGTAGAAACAAGGTAGACCCTAGCTCAATAGGTGAATGGTGAGAACTGACCCTGACCTCCACACATCTGCAGTAGCATACACACACCAACCCCCCCTTCCTCAAAGAAGCAACACAAGGGAGGAGGCATTTAATAGAAAGAAAAGTTAGACTTGTTCATGTTTTGGTATAATTGTTTAAAATACTAAGACAAAAACGGTTCCTTCAGAGATGAAGCTTAAATACCCCAACAGTTTTAGATTTTTAGTATTCTCATGTTAGCTTATGGAATAGTTGGCTTATTTTTTGCTTTGAAATAATTTCAAACTTATAGGCAGGCTGCAAGGACCAGCAGCTCCTTTTCACTTAACCAGTGTTCTCCATATTTCAGGGTAAGCTGGAAACATCAGTGCCTAATTTCCTTATTGTGTGTTTTCTAGGAACACAATATTTTCCCAGTTTAGAGACCAGAGTTAGGCAACCAATGTCAATGCCATATGTTTTCTCTGTGTAGCTTAGGAGCCTGTCCTGGAACTCACTCTGTAGCCCAGTCTGGCCTCGAACTCACAGATATCAGTTTGCCTCTGCCTCCCTAGTGCTAGGATTAAAGGCGTGCGCCACTACCACCCGGCTATTTCTAGTCTTGATGTGCAGGCATGTGTACATTCTGGGTCAACTTCTAAGCCAGGTTCAAGAACTGCATGTAGTTGTTGCCTCTTTTAGTCTACAGAAGTTCCTCGCTTTGTCTTCAGCTTTTATGACTTTTAGAGAGAGAGAGAGAGAGAGAGAGAGAGAGAGAGAGAGAGATATGTGGGCACACATGCCACGGTATGCATATGGAGGTCAGAGGACAGTTTTGGTGGACCTTATTCCTCCTGCACCTATATGGGTTCCAGGACCAGAACTCAGTTGTCAGATTTGCATGAACAACACCTTTACTTTTGGAGACATGTCACTTGCTCCTAGTGACTTAGATATTTTTCAATAGTATAAGACAGTTGATTTATAGAAAGTCCTTCATTTTGGGGGTTACACAGTGTTTCTCCTTGGTTAGTTTATATAACTTTTGGTGGGAATATTTCTTTTTCACTTTTTCATTGTTACTAGCTTTGATGTGTTAGGGTTTTTGTTTCAGAGTATTTCCTGTAATGATTTTAATGAGAGAAAGTCATTGTCTTGTTTTTAAGATAGGGCCTTGCTATGTGGCCCAAGCTGGCCTCAAACTTGCACCAATCCTCCTGCCTCAGCTCCCAAGTGCTGGGATTACAGGTGTGTGCCACCACACTCAGTTCCATAGAAAATCTTTTGTTCTGATTCTTGGGAGTTTTTGAAATAAAGCATTGAGTCTTTTTTTTTTTTTTAAACCAGATTAATGTGCCAGGGGTACCATGCATGAACATTAATGTCCAAATGATGAAAAAGCACCCAATTCTTTACATATAAACAATTTCCTGGCAAATTATTATCTCGACCTTTTTATTGACTTTTATGCCACTAGATGATACTCTGTAAAATTCTGTAATTAATATACTTTGATTCCACATGAATATTCTTGACTACAGCATTCTGTTCTACATTACTATACACTTACCTTGTTAGCACTGTGCTAACATTATGTATAATTTAAGGTTGAGATTACTGTAAAATACACTTTATTTCAACTTTTATGATGATGTTCTCTCCCCTCACTTTATTATTATTATTATTATTATTATTATTATTATTATTATTATTATTTTGGTTTTTCGAGACAGGGTTTCTCTGTGTAGCTTTGTGCCTTTCCTGGAACTCACTTGGTAGCCCAGGCTGGCCTCGAACTCACAGAGATCCGCCTGCCTCTGCCTCCCGAGTGCTGGGAGTAAAGGCGTGTGCCACCACCGCCCGGCTCCCCTCACTTTAAAATGCAGTTTATAAAGTTGGAAATTTAAAGTAGTCTCAAAACCATTTTGTGGTTTAACTTTGGGGATGGTGACAGTAGAATTGTTTTCAGCTCATACTGTGTAAGAAAAGGAAGAACGTGAGCATCGTGGAGTCCTTTCCTTACAGAGTCTCACACCAGTGACTGCGAGGCTAGCAATGTGTGTTTTTACCAGGTGTTGGGTGAGGCTTTTGGTGCAGACTGTTAAATCATTCCACCAGTCTTTAAGAAACACCGCAGAAGCCTGGCCTGGTGCTGTAACAGCCACTTGGGAGGATGAGACAGAAGAACACTGAGTTCAAAGCCTGCCTGGACTAAGGAGTGAGTTCACGGCCAGCCTAGGTAACTGTGAGATTCTGTTTCAAAAGGAAAAGGGCTGTGGTTATAATGTAGTGATGGAGTGTTTGCCCAGCACACACACACACACACACACACACACATATCATAATAAACAAAAACAAGAATGAAAGAAAAAGGAAGAAATACGGCAATAGAAAACTATCAGGGCATGTTCAGGGAAAGATGATTATTGACAAATGCTGTAGTCTATGTACCCGACAGAATAAAAGATCAGCATTTCATACTCATTCCTCATTGTTTCTTGTCAAAGTGAACATCATTGTTTTAAGTTTAAAGAACAATATTTTCACATCATGAAGCAGTAAGACATCTTGCGTATCCTTTTAAAGACAAATAACAATAGTGGAATCAAGTCTACTTTTTTTCTATTGCACTGAATGACATGAAGTAACAAGCATCAATCAAAAGGTATTTCACACAGTGGTATTGTTAACTGAGTAGGACCAGAGAACTGCCAGGGTTTTCTTCCTTCCTTCCAATTCCTTCCTTCCAATTCCTTCCTTCCAATTCCTTCCTTCCTTCCTTCCTTCCTTCCTTCCTTCCTTCCTTCCTTCCTTCCTTCCTTCCTTCCTTCCTTCCTTCTTTCTTTTTTGATACAGGGTTTCTCTGTGTAGCTTTGGTGCCTGTCCTGAATCACGCTCTGTAGACCAGGTTAGCCTTGAACTCATAGAGATCCTCCTGACTCTGCCTCCCAAGTGCTGGGATTAAAGGCATGTGCCACCACCGCACAGCTCTTTATTTCTTTTTTTAAAATAAGTTTTTTTTCCTACACTACCATATTTGAGAGGAATAAATATATCCAGATATGTGGGAATATGTATGATGGAAAGTAATTCTGGTTTGCTTAGATAATTCCTAATTTCATAAATTGAGTAGAATAGACCTGTGCTTTCATTAATGTGCTCAGAATCCATTTCTATTGAACTTTACTGAAACCCTTACAACAGAAATCAATCTTTTTTTCTTTTTCTTTTCTTTTTTTTGAGACAGGGTTTTTTTTTGTGTAGCTTGGTGCCTTTCCTGGAACTCACTCTGTAGCCCAGGCTGGCCTTGAACTCACAGAGACCCACCTGCCTCTGCCTCCCAAGTGCTGGTATTAAAGGCGTATGCCACCACCGCCCAGCCAGAAATCAATCTTAAGAACTAAAGAAATTGATAGATTAATTTACAGTAAGTGAGCTCAGAAACAAAAAAGAACCAAAAAAAAAAACAAACAAACAAACAAAAAACCAAAAACAAAACAAAAAACCACCCTCAACCTAAATAGTTTTTAGCTTGGAGAATGTATTTTCAGAGGGACATCAAATAACTTTTTACAAAATTGCAACTTTATTTGAAACTTGTCTGCATAACATTTTCTCTAGAGCCTGGAATTTCTTTTTGTTTTTCTGACATTAACACACACCAGATATTTTTATAAAGTAATTACATTTATAGCATTAAAATGTACTCTTTTTTGATGTGTGTTTGCCTCATGTATGTGTGTGCATTTCATATATGTGTCTGATGCCTGAGGATTCAGAAAAGGGTATCTGATTTTCCTGGATTTGGATATATGGATGATTGTGAGCCACAATGTAGGTTCTAGGAACCAAACCTAGGTCTTCTGTAAGGGCAGTAAATATTTTAACCCCTGCCCCTGCACACCTAGTTCTAATCTTAAAACAAATGAAACAAACTCATTAAAGTTATATTTAGGGATGCAATACATGCTTTAGCTGGGGGTGCTAGCTCAAAAGGAGAATACATGCTTAATATGTTCAACACCCACAACCACCTGCACCCCTCCCCAAATATATAGATTTACTTTTTTTTTTTGCTGCTGCTGCTGTTGTTTTGTTTCTCAAGACAGCGTTTCTCTGTATAGTCTTAGCTGTCTTGGCACTCGCTCTGTAGACCAAGCTGGACTCAAACTCACAGAGATCTGCCTGCCTCTGCCTCCCAAGTGCTGAGATTAACAGCATTTGCCACCACCACCAGGCTTAGATTTAGTTCTTAAATGTTAACACAATTCAAAAGTTACAGAGAGCATCTTAGGATATTAGTGGATTCTGGTGACATGTTTTTACAAACTCTCATCAGCCCCATGTGGTAGAGATGTGGTGGCATATGCTGGGGCTTGGATATGAAACTTGAACAGGCAGAAGTGTGGTGAGGGATGTCTAGCCATCCCATCCTCCACCCCTCTGTGTTTCCAGGAAAGACAGAGGGGACTTTGACTCACTGGCAGGAGCCCCATGGACTATTACTCTATGGACCCTTTTAGAGAGTTCTGTGGTGTCAGCACATTGTTCGTATTGTTAATAATTTGTATATGTGCCATTAATTGAAGATTAAAAAGGTTTTATGGGTTTCTCAAATGAGTTCCTTAATCGGAATCTGCTGAAGTGATTTTGGTCAGAACTGCGTCATTAGTCTGTCATTGCCAGAAATAAGATGATTTTCTAAAAAAAAAACCCCAAAACTTCAGCTCATTGTCTACCATCTCCATTAAAAAATAAATGCAAATCTCTTTAATTCTAAGTGATATGCAAAATGTAGTTCATAAAACATCTCCCATTATTTCCAACCCAAAAAACTGGTTAAGTAGATTGGTTCGAAATGACTGAAGCCAAATGGTCCAGTGGTTGTGGTTGGATGCTTAGACTTTGCTGGCTGTAATGAGATCGTGGAGCTTTATTAGCTGTTTAGAAAGGACAGAATTAAAACAATGAAGGGCACAGGAAAGCAAGTCTGAGTTCCTCTTCAGCTCTTCCCTTCATGTCAACACTTGATGTGTTGATGACAGTTTCCTGTCTTCTTAGTCTCTTACGAAACAATGCTATTTTTATTTTTAATGTTTTAAATTTTTAATATTTTATTAAATATTACATTAATTCATTGATAATTTCATGTAATGTATTTTAATTGCCTCTCCTCCCACCCCTACTTCTTACTCCGTGTCTTTTTTTAAAAATAACCCATTGAGTCTAATAATGTTTAATAACCCAGTTTGTGCTCCCTGCATACTCCTTTCTGTGGGGCCATCCACAGAAGTGGATTGGAGTGTGGTTGACCTCCTGGGGGCCACACTTTCTCTCCTCCAGAAGCTATCCACTGCCCATAGCTTCTCACCTAGGGTTGGGGGGCTTGTAAACCCCTTCTCCTTCTACACTAGGATGTTGACTGGCTTGATCATGTTTGGGTCTTGTGCAGGCAACCAGAGCTGCTGTGAGTTCATGAGTGCAAACAGTCCTTGTCCGGAAGATACCGTTTTTGCTCTGGTACTTACTCCCTGACCTCTGGCTCTTACAGCCCTACTGTCCCCTGCTCTGTGCTGGTCCCTGAGCCTTCTCAGGGAGGGTGCGCTGCAGATGTTCCATGTGTGGCTGAACATTCTACTGACATTTGCTCTCTGCACTTTGACCAGTTGTGAATTTTGGCATAAACTGCCATCCACTGAACAAAGACACTTTTCCGCTAAGGTCTGAGAGCTACACCAGTGTATGAGTAGAGAGACACATACTTAGAAGGCAGTTTGATACTGTGTCCCAGTAGTAGAATAAATAGCAATAGGTTCAACTTTGGGGCCTCTGAGCGTCTCAATCATAAGTTCTTGGCCAGGTGAATAGGAACTGACATGCGTTTCTATGTGGCAGGCCTTAAATCCAATCATAACGTGGTTGGTTACCCCCAAAACGTTCATGCCATTATTGTACCATTGACAGATGTTGGCATGCTGGCCATTATTGTAGTTTCAGGGTTCTTAGCTGAGTAAGACTGTTGGTGACATTTCCCCCCAGCGGCCTATAGCACTTTCCAGTACTATACAAGCTAGCCAGCATGACAGAACTTTCCTGCTCAATACCAACTTGGTTTCTACACATCCTGTGACCATTGTGTATGGTGTCTTTAGCAATAGGGCCCACCATCATGTCCTGGTGGTGACAAAGAACAATGGTAATAGCCTGTATTGTTTGGGGGGTGTCCATTGACATCCCTGACCAACAACTTGAGGAGACAACTTTATTCTTTGACTTTCTCTAATATGACAAATGCATACTTTATACTTTCACTATTTTGTTTACTCAGTGTTTTAGAAGTAAGTGTTCATATGTAGGGTGATAAATACATGTTGTTTCCTCATACATATTTTTCCATTGCTGGACATTTCTATTTATGATTTATTATATATAGCTGCACAAAATATCCACATGTAATGAAATGTGGGTGTTAATAGTATGTGTTATTCATCTGTTCATTGAAACTGATTGTGTACCAGGCTAGGTATTATTTATCTCACTAAAAATAAACGTATGCCCCAATTTAATTAAAAGTATTTTTTGAAACAGGGTTTCTCTGTGTAGCTTGTCCTGGAACTTGCCCTATAGACCAGGCTGGCCTCGAACTCACAGAGATTCACCTGCCTCTGCCTCCTGAGTGCTGGGATTATTAAAGGCGTGCACCACCACCGCCCGACTTAATTAAAATATTTTATTTGTGTGTTTACCTGCATGTATGTATGTATGTGCAGCTCTTAATGACTGAGCCACCCTCCGTTTCTAGGAGAACCTGTTGTGGTTGTTTTTTGAGACGGGGTTACTCTATGTAGCCCTGGCTGTCCTGGAATTTGCTTCATAGACCAGGTTGGCCTTGAACTCAGAGTTCCTCCTGCCTCTGCCTCCCAAGTGCTGGGACTAAAAGAGTGCACCACCACACCCAGCAAATAGACCCTGTTTTTAAAAGCACTTTAACAATGAAAAGCAGTCGAAGGTTAAAGATCAGGTCCATGGGCATGCATACACGAGACAGATTCCTAAATGCAATATTATTTGGTGGAAGGAAACACATTTAAACTCTGGTAGATGCTGCTAGTTGTACTCCAAAAACATCTGTACTGCCTTGTTCCCAACATTAAGGCACATGGTCAGCCTCATGTCCATGTCCTAATAGGTATAAATCTCACCCCCCCAACTGTATTACCTGATTACTAAATCTGTACAGAGTTCCATGTTTTCTGGCCATTTGTATTTTTCCTGAGATTGCCTTTCCATACTGATGGCCTTCTATTTTCTTGCAAGCATTCTCTTTTATTAAAATATGGTTTATAAGTACATATGTAAGTTACATGAGTGTACTTGTTGCTTTTTTTTTTATGTTTCTGTCTGGTGCCTATGTTCAGCTTTGTCCATAATGACTTTTGCTGTATGTGATATTTAAATTTGGGGATACACAATCTTTTATGTTTTCCTTTGAGTTTTGCTCAAGGGAGTCTAAACACCTGAACTTTGTATGCACATTTTATTTTATTCTTTAGAGTGTGTATAACTTTCTCTTGAGATTTTGGATATTTATAGGAATCTGATTTTATTTTGTCATTTTATTTGAGTCTCACAATATTCTAACAACATTCATTGTATAGGTCGTCTACCAAAAGGGAGAGCTGCTGTGAATTGTGTTTATGTACTTATATGCATGTCTACATTTTTATAGACATAACCAAGTTAACAAACAGGCCTAAACTTAGTGTTTTAAAACATCTGTTAAATGGCCACCATCTTTTACCATCTTGCCAAATAGAACTGGCTAGCAGGTAAGCTTGTGTTTTCTCCCTGTGATGTCAAGTAAAGCTCCAGTCTTTGGGAGTCTGTGGGCCGGTCCATAATGACTCACACACGTGGCTGGCATCTCAGTTGGATTATCTGTATATGATGTTTCTCTCTGGTTTAGGCTTCTCCAAAGTGTTTGTGTTCTGAGCAGCTGGATGCCAAAGAAAGAAGGGGAAATTGTTCTCATGAATGTTATCCCTAGAACTGACAATATGTTAATTGAGCCACATTCTAATGGATTAGGCAGACTTGGGGCCAGCCAGACATCAAGAGAAAGAAAATTAAGCCATGTCTGCATGGGGAGAGTGCAGAACATTTTGTGATCATCTTCAGTTCATCACAAGAATTAAGGAAGTCTTTACTATAAATTAAATATAATCAGTGCCCACTAAACACCCCACTAGAAAAAAACAAACTCTAGCTAGAGAATTACAAACGTATTTGAAGAAGTTAAGAACATTCCTGGGAACACATGCGTCTTCCTATAACCTTGATGCATTGAAGACCATCGTTAGTACAAATACCTAGTGTACATTATTTGGGAGCTTAGACAGTTGTGTTCAGTGATTTTGGCTTTGAAATTTTGCTCTCTGCTTACCAAAGGGAAACAATGTAGCAGTCACCAGCAACTTCCTGCTGTGTTTTGGAGTCCTGGGTATGCCTTTCCCATGACCTGAGTCATAGTCATTAAAGCACCGAAGAAGTTTTTGTTGTTGTTTTCAAATCCTAGTGCTGGGAAATTTCTGTAGCCTGGGAGTAGTTGATACGGTCATTTCTTGCAGTCAGTACTAAACCTCCAACATATTGGATTAAAAATTATAAAAATGTTCAGGTGAATTTAATGATGATGTGGATTACGAGCTGCGTGAACTCACACATTCACTGCCTTGGTAGTATTTTTGTACACTTGCTGTGTTTTACACAAGGTTAATTCATTCCTTTTAAAGCCTAGTCTGTTGTCCTTGTAAATCTAAAGTCTCTTATAAAAAAAACCTTGTAGCTTGATTTTTTCGCCTTGCCCACAGTCAGGACAAACCTCTGTCACCCGCCAGTCCCACAGCCACCCAGACCCAACCAAGTAAACACAGACACTTATATTGCTTTCAAACCGCATGGCCGTGGCAGGCTTCCTGCTAACTGTCCTTATCTTGCTAACTGTGCTTTTATCTT